GTGGTCAACCTCGCTTAGCTCATAGTTCCACGGTTACCCATCCGAATGACTCCATTCCACTTTTCAGACATGGCCTGAGGTCCCCTCTTATATATCCTGCGAACAGCTTCCGGTCGGACGGACAGCGATGATGTATATGGCGTTATGAAGCATGCATTGTTCTCACCGGTTTATACTGTTGGGACACCAAATTCCGGCGACACTATTACTGTGCACAGGGCCAACGGCGGGGCCAGAAGGGAGTGTTGGCTATGAAATCTTCGCAGTTTTCAGGAGGTCTGTGCGTGGGGAAGGTCTGTGCATTCATGTGTGTAACAGCCGGAGGTGTAGCGGAGACGGAGGATGTTTGCAGCTTCTTGTACCTTACCAAAGAATATATAAGATAAACAAAAAAATCTAAAATCTCTATCTTTCAGAACATCCTCTGTCTCCACTATACCTTCAGCAATTAAAAACTCAATACTATGGTTACTATTGTGGCTTTTATCATCCAGCACCACAAACTCCTTCTATCTCTCCTTATCTAACATAGGTTATAGGAGGTAGACTCGCTTCCCCTCTTCCTTGAAGTCTTTCTTTATTTCTTGACTTCCTTGGTTCCCTCTCTGGTTGTAGTCCTTCGTCATTGTGATGTTTCTCTCCTTCCTTCCCTACCTTGCTTAGGCATTGGCACAGTTGGAAACTCCTCAGCCACCATCGTCAGACAGATAGAACTGCAGTTTACAATATGGGAGAACAGCCAACAGGCTACAGTCAATCTCCCTATTCTCTTGTTTTCCTAACCAGGTGCCTAGTCAAATACAAATGCAATTACTAATAGTCAGTGTACATGGTCTTTGGATCTACTACTTCTCTACTCTTTCATTTCTATGGTTGGATTAGCTGGTACCCTACTGCTACCTGCTCTTAAACTAGCACCTTACTGCCTTACCTGTTGTTTGTTCCAGAGGACATATGGTTTCTGATACACTTGCCACACATCTTCTCTGCTCTCTTCTTGGTTGCCTCTTTTGAGATGGTTTTTCTTATATCCTTAGCTACTATAGCTTCAGTCCTCTCCCCCTGGCCCTTGTCTTGATCTTGTGGTTCCAGCTTATCTGGCTTACAAGGAGTACTCTTTAGCCCTCCTGTGGACTCAGTTTAGGTTTCTGCCTTTAGGTATTTTATTTTTGAGGTTGTAGCAAGTTCTTAGTTCACTGTCAGGCAGTTAGCTTTTGTTTGTCACTTGGCTGTAGGGGTTATTGAGTGGAGCATTTGATGGAAGGGATATTGGGTAGAAGTAGTTTTTTCTACTCTAAAGAGTTTTTTAGCTCTGTCATTTAGTCCTGGCCAGTGCAGAGTATTTTTTTAGGCATCATGGCTAGCACGTCATATACCTTTTTATACTATTAAACAAAAATAAAAATTAGTTAAATAAAAAATAAAAAATCCCTATCTTTTAGAACATTCTTTATGTCTGCTACACCTCCAGTAATTGAAGTCTCAATACTATGAGTTTTATCATTAGATAATCATTACTTTCCTACTTCCTCCTACCTTTGACCTTAGTCTAGAGGAGGCTGACTTTCCCTTCTCTCACACCCAAAGTATTGACTTTGGTCTACTGTCATAGAGCCTTCCTCTTCCCTCTTCTGTAGGAGATCTATCCTTTGGGACCTTACCTTTCTTACATCTCCTCTTCCTGTATTGGCCTTGCTTAGCCTTTGTATTGTTGGCAACCTCATAGCCACTATTATTGGATGGCCAGGATTATGGTTAGCAGAAAGTCAGAATAGCGAATAAATGACAGTCGATCTCCCTATACTCTTGTTTCCCAAAGAACCTATCTAGTCAGATACAAATAGAATTACTGATGCACTTTGTACAAGGTCTTTAGATCTACTCCTCCATCCTTCCTCTCTTACAGTTGGATTAGCTGGTATCCTACTATTCTACTTCCCTCTCCTTCCGGTTATCGCCTATGGCTGGCCAGGCCTTCTTCTCTTCCCCTTCATAGTATTGTACTGTTTCCTTAGAGGAGTGAGCCTAGGGGGTCCTTTACTATAACATGCTTCAGTATATTGCTTCTACTCCTACCTACAGACCTATCCTTTAGAGAGCTTATATAGCTTGCTTTTAACTTTTCTTTTACTTTTTTAGAATTTCTTGGTGGGTTTTCCTGATCCTTCCTACTTTCTTTTTAGTTAGATTTTCTTCATCTATCTTCTTGGCTGAGCTTAGGTTCTCTTTGTTTAAAGCAAGATATGCAGTTGACTTTACACTAGAAGGATTTAGGGGATTGGCTTTTTCCCATAGCAAGAGGAGGACTATGGTTTTTTTGTCATTATAGCTAGCACCCTATCTATTTTTTGTACGCTAAACAAATAATCAATAGGTAAAACAAAAATAAAAAAATCTCTATTTTTCAGAATTATTCATAAGAAGAGAAGAAATCCTATTATTATATTCATTATACTTTGATATCTATTTTTTACTATAAGTTTTCTTAACTATTCTCCAAGAAACTTTACTAACTTTAGCTACAATTTACTTAATCTTAGAATTAGCTACTACTTAATAGTAAATAACTAGGCTAATATTCTACAAGATAACTAATCTATATAGAAAACTATTGCATTCTCTAATTCGTTTCATATGTATATTCACCTTAATAATATTATATATTACTCTACTTAGTATTATTTCTAGACTATAAATATTACTATAACTGTAATATGTATTATATATATTTTATTAATATTTTATGATATGATTAGGGAATTATCATGTGTTTTCTTTTCTGATATTCAGGTTTATTTCTTATATTTTATATATCATTATACACAGTTATTGGTTATTTGATTTACAATTATGTTTTAATTATCTGCTCATACCACCTCAAATTTAAGTTTATGCATATTTTATGGAATTTACCTAGTAGTTCCTCAGGGTCAGGCACATTCACACTTATGTTTTTCCTACTTATATCACAGTAAAACATGTTGATACTTATGTTTTCCCTTATATTTTCTCTTAGTTATATGAAGGATGTGTACTTGTATAAATAGGGGTTACTACCCATCTCACTTAAGAGAATTAAGGGCAAGAACTACTCCCAATCTATCTTTATACAAAATTCCTCCTTGCTTGACGTGCCCGCAGTATACTCTTTCTACTGTGTTATATTTTTGTACAAAGTTATTAAGATAGTACCATACTGTACACATTTGAACAAAAACCTCTCTTGTAGCAATCAAGCTACCTTCTCTATCTGAATAGCGATAATACAGCAAAAACTACAGGTACAAGTTTGTTATAGAAAACCTACTTCAAGTTGGCTAATACCAGATAACTGATCAGAGTAATATCAATCAGCTTGCCTTCAATATTTATACTATTTAAGTACCTGATTGTAGAAATGCATATATATGAACAAAGTTTATCTTCAAATTAATTCTTAGTATGTTTAATCTACTATTTCTTGCTTACTTAATACTATCTTCAAAGAATATTCAAGTTATCTTACTTCTAACTTTATAGCAAAGTCTATCACTATCTAGTTCTTTGCTGGATTTCTGACAACTGGACATTCAAAGTTGATTTCTATTTAAAAATAAATAGAAAATATATGAATAAGTAAGTCCAACTAAAGAAGATTAATCTAATTCAATATATAAATAAAATTATTGTCCTCCACCTCCTTCCACTATATGAGACTGTAAGAGTTATCAGCCAGGGTACCCAAATTACCAAAGATGGTATAAGCTAATATATCTTGAACTATACTAAGAAGTTTCATCATTTAAATAGTATAAAAAGAATAGATTGACCTCCATATTCTCCAGGTATGAATTTAGTTAAACATATTTAAACAATTTAGAAAGTCAAATTTGAGAGAGTGATAAGAGATTGTAGCAAACATCCTTATAGATACCAGGAGGAGGATCTACTATAGAGACAGATTATAGGATAGATCAGTAATATAACTAATTGAATTTTAGTACTATTATGGTCTTGAGGAGGAGTTACTAGTATATAGTACACTATGTACACTATACTTCTCTTCCTCATGATATTTGTTTTATTTCTCTTACCCCATCAGTGAGGATAATATGTACTGATTTTTACGTATATAGGCATATGTTGAGGCATGCCAAGGTTTGTTGTCCACAAACTTCCCCCACGCGGCTGCCACCCGCTTCCCCCGCACACGCAACCCTTCGGTGTAACCAATGAGTTACCGGTAGTCCACTCGGTACAGTACTCGTACCGCCAGCAGAACAGTTGCCGAAGGCAAAGTGAGCGATGCAGAGGCGAACGTTTCCGTCCAGTTAGCCGTCGGCACTTCCCAAGACGTCATATTTCGGGTATGCCATGACCAAGCGCCACCGAAACCAAGTGAAAATGCCCCTTTCGCATCTCCTCACTGCTGACCACCGTTCCCACTAACCCGTTGTAATCGGGACTTGATTTCACGCAAACTTGAACCCGAGTTCAGCACACCGTACCAGCGCAGCACCAGTATGATACTTGTATTATAGATCCCTTACGAGTACCGTATTCTAACAGCTAATTACTACCGGTACGGTACGGTAAGTCCCTTACCGCATCATTGGCTAAAACAGCATCCACGGGTACTAGTACGAGAACAGTACCGATACCGTACCGGCGCACCCTCCCCGACGCTCTCTCCTCACCTGTGTTACCGTGACTCAAATCTTCATGCACGAGTACCCGTGCCGGGAGATCCCACGCGGCAGACCACCCGAAGCCTCACCGCACATGGGTTAAGGATTTCACGGTCGAATAACAACCAGAGAATCGTTATCACCTTAAAACAGTCCACTTGAATACCGTACTGTAGCATATGACATATCATATTGACATCCCACTCACTCGTATTGGGAAATAAGGCCCCCTTGAAGCCTCGTATAAGGGTTCAATACCGGTATTTCCAAGACGGATCTATTCAGACGGGAGAGTGGGAGAAAAAAAAAAGAAAAAAGTTGTCAAGGCAAGAAACTATCATCACAACGCAGAAATCCCTCACAAGCTATATTCTAGATCTAGCTACAGGTTCCCAAGAGTCAAGCTTCGGTTTTGTCCTATTACCCGAGTCAGTATAAACCCTTCTCAAGTTAAAAATCACTTGCTCGTATTTTCCTAACGCTTGTGAACACGACCGCTATTGTATACCACCAAACTCTTGAGGCTCCAGCCGATCTTTTGTCCATATGCAATAGCAATCATGTTCACAGACGTCGTTCAACTACGAGTGAAGACGCATTGCCACGCACGTGGAGTAAGGCTTGTATGCACCCCGACCGAAAGTCTGATTGCCCAGGTGCTCTGATTTCTCCCAGGCTCTAATTTCATGATTCAGAACAGGCTCGGCTCCCGGTGGTTTGTCGACCATATAGGCGAGCCATGCATGCCTGGTCTCTGTCAATTCCGGGTGCTAGGAAGCACAGCGCAAGGGTGGATAACCTACCACCCAGGCTCAACGTGCGAACTAAGTTCTCCGAGATCTTGTCAATAAATTTCTGGCTCCAGAATGCGCAAGGTTCGGAACAGCTCACGCATCGTATTCCTTCCACTCCTTGTAATCAACCCATTTTGTCCTCACTACATGTTAGGGATCATCAATCATCAGTACCCAAACCCTACCAGCAACAATTTCCGTAATGCAAGGCCTTCCACTCACATGGCAACTCTTCTTCGTTATTCTCGTAGAATTTGTTTCCGAAACGATCTGTACCGATGAGAGTCCCCGCCTTGGTGTCACCTATGATATCGTCAATTGGATCTCGTTACCCCCGCCCAAGTTGAGGGTTTTGTTATACCCATGCGCTAAGGTAAAAAATCTGTCAGGAAACAAGATATCGCAAGACGAGAATCAGAGAATAGCAGAGGTGTAACATACATTCATCTGGCGGGCATATTGGCGGGGGCCAATTCGAAACAGATACTTCAGGGTCCTTGTAAGCGTCGACATCCTTGCAGGTAGGCCGATAAAAGCCTTAAGCCTCTGGAGCCACTGGGAAGAGATGGAGGCGAAATATCTTAAACTATAGCGTGGGGTATGAGTCTGGAGCGTTGATTCAGTGGAGCGAGGTCCTGATCCAGGGCAGTGGCCTGCCAAAGTTACCCTCCCACCAGTGATCACTGCACGGACCATGTGCACTCGCTTGCCAAGTTTCCAGTTGAGCCTCCAACTAAAATACCGGTGTCGGTCCTCCCTCTCTCGGGGATCCGTTATTGGATGGTGTGTTGCGCGTGCCGTATCCCGCCTTTACCGTGAAGAAGATCCGTCGTTATTACTGACTGTAAGCCGGTGGAGAGCTGACCTGATCGTGACTTAACTGTTGCTCTCACTAAGGGATATCGAAAAGCAGAAAAACCAAGACCAATAAAGAGGAACGAGAGGACCGAGGTCTATGTCACAATTATCATGTGTGGCTCGCTCATCTAATTGGTGGTTGTTGATGCCGTGCAAGTATATAACAAAAAGTACAGAAAAACATGCAAAAAAAGCTAGCTGGAACATAATGATTTGTGGGTGTGCAACCCTCCTCCCGACTGCTAAAAATGCCCTATCGGGCTGCCCTATGCTACACCGGTATTAATTCTAGAACCGCTTGACAGCTTTCTGACCAAACAACCAGAAATTTGTCCGGTACCCAACAGAACCCACTCATGATAGCCGTAACCCTTCGAGATTCCTTCCTGCGGCCAGCATTCTGCCTACCGCGCTGCCGCATCTTCTCTCATTCTCGAAGGTCTTTTTCATCCTCCAACTCAACCTTACACCCTACCGCATCGATTTCTTCCCCCACCTCCTCGGTCCTGGGATCTCTCACTGGGGAGCTAGATAGACTCGCCCCTAGATTTGAGATCCAGGCAAACAAAATACGCATCATGAAAACCCCCAGCGAATTCTACGCAGTCCTTAAGGTAATTGGTTAGTTCCCAATCCCCGCATGTAATCATCATGGTAGAAAGAAAGAGCGCTCAATTGACCGTGTGGGATAGGACCGGATATTGAAGGCTGAGAGACGGATCTTTTTATCCACATTATATATTGGGAAAACGGAGCATGAACTTGTACGTCTTAAAGAGCCCCAAGCCCGCGTGTCCACAGAAATCCTCTGACCACCGATTCTCCAAGATTGACATACTGAGGAAAGCGCTTAGTCGTCAGCCTAAGCTGAAGGTTTCAATCTTGTCTGATGCGTTAAGAGGGACCCGTGAAACCCCAAATCCATCTTGCGCATCACTTCTAGCACCTTTACTCTCTGAGTTTGGTGCAAGCCGGGTGGAAATTCGGATGTATCACACACCAAACCTGAGGGGATTAAGAAAGAAGATAGTACCCAAGAGGCTCAACGAGGGATGGGGTCTGCAGCACATGAAATTATACGGCATCGATGATGAGATTGTCATGTCTGGGTATGCCGTGTCTCGATCAATTTCCACATTTCACATAGCCTCAGCTCATCTAGATCATAGTGCGAATCTTTCAACAGACTACTTCACCAACCGCCAGGATAGATACCACTTATTCACCTGCCCAAACCTAACAGACCACTTCGCTAGAATACACCACGCTGTGTCTTCGATCAGCTACAATGTTCTCCCAGGTCCCAAAGAGCAAGGGGGATACACACTTGAATGGCCAGAGTCCAATCCAGCTCCAATGCCCACGAAAGAGCCCAGGGAGTTTCAAATCGCAGCAACCTCCATACTTGCACCCTTGATAGGACCAGAACTTACCCCCATCAAATCACCCTCATCTGCCTCCAAAACCGTTGTATACCCACTTGCTCAATTTACTCCCCTTCTCTATCCGCAAGATACCTCGACAGAACACCCAGCACTATCTTCAGTCCTACGCCTCTTATCCCGTGATTCCTTCGCCAATTCGAGATGGGTCTTCACCGCCGGGTATTTCAATATCCATGCGCAACTTAAGAAGTTGTTATTAGCCTCCAAGTCGGTAGAGGGAATAGTCGTGACAGCTGCACCGGAAGCGAATGGTTTCTACGGTAGCAAGGGTGTATCCGGGATGTTACCAGCTGCATACACTTTGATGGCAAGGCAGTTCCTTGACGATATAATGAAAGTGGGAAAGGGTGACAGCATTCTATTGAAGGAATGGAGGAGAGGCACAATTGGAAAGGAACCGGGTGCCTGGACCTATCATGCAAAAGGTACCGTATTACTATGGCCCGGCGTGAGATGTGGATGGGTGTCTAATTGGATAACCAGGTGTTTGGGTATCATTACCCAATGAAGAAGACCCGAGTATCACACTTATAGGGTCGTCAAATTACACAAAAAGATCTTATTCTTTGGATTTGGAAACGGATGTGCTGGTAGTAACGGAAGATGTAGGGTTAAAAAAGGCGTTGGGTGAGGAAGTCGCTTGGTTGCAAGATAATGCTCGTACTCTCACTATGCAAGATTTTGAGAGGCCGGAAAGAAGAGTTTCATTGAAAGTGAAGCTAGCGTTGTGGATTGTAAAGGCTATCGGAGGTCAGCTGTAGTGGTAGTGCATTATCATACAAAATTTCGTTGCTCCAAATAAATTAATGGTAATAGCCTACGGTATCCGTCTGTTAAAAGGTAACGTTTCTTCGAGCTGTGCTCTTAGATTCGAAAAGAAAAAGAAAAAAAGCAGATCTTTGCTTTTAATACTTCTATGATAGACGCACTCTATATAGACATTCGCAAGATACCCCCAAACTCTTTATGAGGGTCCCGGGCTCTCAATGTCGTCTAGGGGTCTATAGCGAGGGTAACAGCCAATGACCGAAGGTGGAGTTAATTTGGGACTGTTTTTTTTTTCCATTCAGGGCCTACCCTCCCCACTACACTAAAAGAGGCTTGGCATACACAACCGCAAACTTTCCACTGTGAATCCTGACAGCTCCAGTCCCCGACAATAATTACACCGGCAACACCAGCAATAACACTTTCCCCATATTCAAAACAAACCAGAGCTCACAATGGGAAGGCAAGTCGATACCTCCACCGCTACCGCCACCGCCGACAATTTTGAATTTCGGGCTAATAAACTTGGGCATCTAGAGTCATCCGTAATCAGCGAAAGGGTGCCGGGTCTATCTTCAGTACGTTTTCCAGAAGTCTTAGGTTCGCGGAGATAAAGGAGAATTAGTGCTAACCCATCGGACAGCTGCCCATACCAGGCTGCGAAAGGTGCAATACATTCCGTCGACCAAAGGCCGTAGCCATTGACGCTGACCGCAAAATTCAATATAGAACCCTGCCAAATTCAGAACCCTCGACTACAGTGAGCGCCATGGTTATATCCGTGGTGTTGTCAAGGATATCATCCACGACCCCGGAAGAGGAGCTCCCCTCGCCAAGGTTGTCTTTCGCGACCCTTACCGCTACAAGCTCCGCCATGAGACGTACGACCCCCTATATCCTACCATGAACTCTTCGACTGATCGCTGATCTTTGTTGGGGGGGGGAATAGTTTTATTGCCAACGAGGGAATGTACACCGGCCAGTTTATCTACGCCGGGAAAAAGGCCTCTCTTAGCATCGGAAACGTCCTTCCTCTTGGATCCATGCCCGAAGGTACCGTCGTCACCAATGTTGAGGAGAAGGCTGGAGATCGTGGTGCGCTCGGAAGGACCTCTGGTAACTACGTCACCATCATTGGACACTCGCCCGATGAAGGAAAGACCCGTGTCAGGCTCCCCTCTGGTGCTAAGAAGATTGTTCCCTCTGCTGCCCGCGGTATGATTGGTATTGTTGCTGGTGGTGGAAGAACCGACAAGCCCCTCCTTAAGGCCTCCCGCGCTATGCACAAGTACAAGGTTAAGAGGAACAGCTGGCCCAAGACTCGTGGTGTTGCCATGAATCCCGTCGACCATCCCCACGGAGGAGGTAACCATCAACACATCGGAAAGGCCTCTACCATCTCTCGTTACGCCTCGCAAGGCCAAAAGGCTGGTCGTAAGTACCTCTCAGTAAGGAACCGCATGGAAAGGGATATCAACTAACTGGCCCATCTAGTTATCGCCGCTCGTCGCACTGGTCTCCTCCGCGGTACACAAAAGACCAAGGATTAAACTTAATCGGAATTTGTTGCGGTCTTCTCTTTATTGTTGGTTGGGTTCTTTCTTCTTTCTTTCTATACAAAATGGGAGGCCCAGGGGTTGGGAGCAAATAAAAAAGTTCAAAACATATCCATGGTTACATATCGCTTGCGGAAATGTGTTTTTTTGGATCGTCATATGAAAGCGCCACAGTCTCCACAACCCGAAAGGTTTGAGCTTATTACATTTCCCACGGACGCTCCTGGATTAGGGTTTTCTTTCTTTCTTGTTTTCTAGAGGGTAGGCGTGGGCAGTGCGGATATTGGCAGGTGATGGGTTGGTTGTTTGTGGATACCCGACCGCCAGGGGAGTCGCGCACATAAACGGTTGACATGAGAGAATCCGACGTGAACTGAACAGAGGCCCGGCACCAAGGAACTGGAATCAACGTATCCACACTTAACAACCGGATTGAGGCATCGTGAAGGAGAAGTGGGGGTCTTAAGTCCATTCTAGTTTCACCGCGAGTCTATAGTGTGATAGCTGATAGGCCAGCCTCAGATCTACATAACCGAGTGATAATTCATGCACCGGCTAACTCCTAACTATTACTTCTGAAAAAAAAAAATAACCCATTCTCATACGGGATTACGTCTATTGAAGGGGGGGGGATGGGGAGAAAAAAACAGAACATGCAAGCCAGCTGAACCACAAACCTTTATACATGATTGATGGAATGTGCACCGCCGCCGGTATCATATCCCGATCCTCCTTCATCCGGGAAACAAAATCATAAAGGATACAACTGTGAGGAAGATGGAAGAGAAGCGGGGGGAAAGGAAATAATAGGCAAGAAGAGATAGTCCTAGTAAACCCATGCGTCCGGAACCTTTTGTTTGTTGGTATGTGGGGAGAACAAGCCTAAGCCACCAAATCTTCCAATATAGCCTCCAGCTCCTCCTTCTTGAAGGGTGCCCAGAGTACGTCAGTGCCTTGAGCATCTTTTTTCAAAGATACCATTTGGTGATCTTGGAATCTGCCCGGAATTAGCCCACCGCCATATCCCCAAGAGCGTAGTGAAAAAAGAGGGTGCGGGTGTGTTGGGGGGAGCATACTCCTTCAATAATGTCCGAAACGCCATATCATTACTACAGATAAACTCCTCCACAGCCTTCTGATAGAGCACTTTATACTCCACGCCGACCTCCTCCTCGCCCGCGGCTCCGATCGCTCCGTCTTCGATCCCTTGTAATTGGTGACTTACAAGCACGCGGTATAAAGACTTTGCGTTCATAGGCAGTGATGCGAGGACGAACTTAACACCCTTCGTGCCGCCGGCACGCCCAGTTCCGCTGATGAGCGCTAGCGAGTCGTCGATCGAGGACTCGACCGAGTACGGGGCGAAAGTGGTTGCGTCGTGCCAGAGAAAATTGAACTGCGAGACTCTGGCAGCATCCCAGAGCAGCGGGGCGCGGATGTGGTCTATCGAGGCGACGAGGGAGATTTTTGGATGGGAGCTTAAGCGCGAGAGGAGGACCTGAGCGCGGGTTGTGCGGAGGGGTTCGCCATCGAGGTTGTGGATGAGGATGGTTAGGTGGGGTATGGCCGCGTATTCTTCCACCTCCTCTTCAGTCTCTTCGTCTTCTGCAGTGCGGGTGTCGAGGATCGAGAGGATGGTGTCTAAGATGTCGTTTGGGTTGGAGCCTAAGCGTATAGTGTGGTCTGGGCCGATTGCGGCTTTCGCGACGGTTGTGAGCACGTCTTTTATGGTCAGCGTGGGGACGTAGCCGTTTATCACCACAAGGCTGCGAGGCGAGCGGTAGATGCGCTTTGCGAATTGCATCAGCAGATTCCGCTTCGAGCCGTAACCGTACAGCAAGAGGTTGAAGCCCTGACTTAGCTCGAATTCCCACTGCGGGAAGTTCTGCCTGTGTAGGCCTTCCAGGTACGCCCTCTCTTCCACATGGTCGGGCCCATGCTCGCGAATGAGCCGGAAGTAAGAGCTGTGATCTAGCACGGGGAGGGATGCGAGGGTGCTATTCGACGTAACAAGTCTCGCTTTTCGATTCTGGAAAAAGTAGGAATCGGGGCCATCTATGGGTGCGGTTATCTCCTCTTCCACGAGCTGCTTCTTCTTCTTCCTCGACCCCGTCGTTGTGTTCCTCCCACCACGTTTCTTCTGAGCACCGATGGCTTCCTCGTCGGCGAGCAGCCCCCCGTCTATGTCGTCGCTATCGTCATCCCCAAAGATCTTGCGCGCGAGCAAGTCCTCCTCGTCCTCGTCGTCACTGTCCTCACCGCCACCGATGGCCTTGGAAACGATCCTACGAACGCTCTTTCTTCGCGCTGATCGGTCAGCATTTGTGACCGGCCCTCCAATTGCATCCCCGGGTGAAACCACACTCTCCGCGAACCGGACACCGGTGCCATTCCCGTCACGCGTCATTGCGGTGCGAAGCCTTTTCTGGGGGGACGGGGAGTGCACGCTTTCTGTACCCGTGCCTGGTTCGGCGCCGTTGAGCTGTTCGGGGTGAAGGAGGGTGGTTCGTCGCTGCTTGCCCGGGGTCTCGGGCAGGGGGAGTGGACGGATGGGTGTATTTGACGGGGCCGTTTCTGCTGGGAGGTTGAGGGAGATGGAGGACAGGGCCGGTGCCGTGGGGGTAGAGGAAGGTTTTGTCGGCGTGTTTCGGGGAGAGGCGGAGACTGTTCGTTTTCTTTTCATTGTACGTAGGTGCAGATTTGTTGATGCGGTTGGAAGGAGGGAGGTCTTAGAGGGAGGAAGCTTTGTCAAAGGATTATGGTTGGGTGGTTGGTTAACTTGTTATGTTACCGGTATCACGCTCGATTATGGTACCATTGTTTGGTTGGTTGTGGGATGTTGTGCGCGCCGAGAAATGGAAAGGCCAGTTCAAGCTTCAGGGACTTGGAGCTATGATGACTTTTCCAGCAGGGCACTCAATGACCCCCGAATGCCGTCAGGGGTTAGGGTATATATACATAATTAGGGTGTTAACTTGCATACGGGGAACTGCGCATTATAATATTATTATCATAATAATTATTATCATAATAATTATTATCATAACGCTATATTATTGTGTAGGATACCCACCCTGAAAATCCGGATCGAACATCACAGTGATTTCTTATGACACAACTTGCTCCACATGGTACTGTACATGTCACGATCCAATGCCGGCAGGGTGTTGCTTGGTCCGGTATCGGGGGTCCGTATATCGTGAGGAAATGCCTCATACATAATTCATCTCTCATAAAGTCAAGCCATTCGCTTTGTCCAATTGCCTCTGCCACTTCCCTCTCTCGTGGTACTGGTATCATGCTAGACGCTCCCACATGAGGCTCCTGTTTGGGTTGTACCCGCTTCAGGTCTAGGCCGTAACCCTCGAACCATGGCAGATCTTCAATTGAACCGCGGCATAGAGGTGAAGGGGAGGGAGAGGGAGAGGGAGAGATGCCCTTTCCTCCACCTCCCGTCCATCGACATACTCTTTCCACCATCTGACCCCGATAACATTATTGTTCCCGCTCACCTCCCCCCCCCCCCCCCTTCCTGAACCTAGCATCAATAGACCATGGTCCTCACTTCCAAGATGTCACTCCTCCTTGAGCGCTCACTCGCCAAACGCCTTCAGCACGCCCGCAACTACACCACCGCAAACCCCACCAGCGCCTCAACCCCCAACGCAAAGTGGAAATACGTACCCCAATCCGGCACATACCCTAAAGGGTTCAATGTCGGCGGGATCCACTGCGGTGTGAAAAAGGACAGCAAGTCTCTCGATCTCGCACTGGTGACATCTGAACTGCCGTGTGCTGCGGCGGCAGTGTTCACGGAGAACGTGTTCAAGGCGGCGCCCGTGCTGGCGAGCCGTGAGATGTTGAATGCTAGGAGGGGAAGTGGGGTTCGGGGTTTGGTTGCGAACAGTGGCTGCGCGAATGCGGTTACTGGGAAGGGGGGGATGGAGGATGCGATTGCTATGGGGAGGGCCGTGGACGGCTTGCTGGGTGAGGGGGAGGCAAGCACTATTGTTATGTCTACGGGGGTTATTGGACAGAGGTATGTTGGACATCTTTTGACACTCGGGGTGGGGTGAATATCATCAATTGAGGGATATGCTGACTTTGGGGATGCGAATCTGTCTAGACTGCCGATACAGAGGATTCTCGATGGGATACCCAATGCTTACAAGACCGTGGGAACTTCGCATCAGGCTTGGCTGAACACTGCGAAGGCAATCTGCACAACTGATACCTTTCCCAAACTCTGTTCCAAAGGTTTCAAATTCCCGGGATCCTCTACGGAGTACTCAATCGCTGGTATGGCTAAAGGGGCTGGCATGATTCATCCTAATATGGCCACGCTGCTCGGATTCATGGCCACCGATGCGCCCGTCTCCCCGGATGCATTACAGAGTATCCTTAGGCATGCCGTTGAGCGCTCCTTCAACGCGATCTCCGTGGATGGGGATATGAGCACAAACGACACAGTAGCTCTTCTCGCGAACGGTGCTGCCGGCGGGGAGGAAATCAAGATCGGCACCGAGGGAGAAAAGATCCTCAGAGGAGTAGTGACGGGATTTGCGGAGGAGCTGAGCAAGCTTGTAGTCAGGGATGGAGAGGGAGCGACGAAATTCGTGACTGTCAGTGTAAAGGATGCAAATAGCTTTGAAGATGCCAAACAGGTTGCTTCAACAATTGCTAGATCCCCACTCGTTAAGACGGCGCTCTATGGAAGGGATGCTAACTGGGGCCGTATCCTTTGCGCAACGGGGTATTCCGGGGTTGGGGGGATTGTGCCGGAGAGGACAAACGTTTCTTTTGTTCCTACCGATGGATCTCCGGAGCTGAAGTTGCTCGTTAATGGAGAGCCGGAAAATGTCGACGAGGAGCGAGCGAGCGAGATCCTAGCTATGGAGGATCTAGAAATCCTAGTGTCGTTAGGAACTGGTAAAGGTGGCGAATCCGCCTACTATACTTGTGATTTTTCGCACGAGTGAGCTTTCCTCGCACCATGTCGTTTCTCTCACATCGAAAGCCTTTGTTTGCTAACACTTTTCCTATGCAGCTATGTCACGATCGTAGGTTGCCCCGCTTGAATTCCATTGAGATCTGCAAAGGGATGGAGAGCTAACAAACATGAAGAATGGGGATTATAGAACGTAGAAGTGAATAAAAATGCAACTCCGTAATGATCAAAGCAGGCTGGATGGAAGCTGGATATTAGCGCTTGAAGGTTATCCCTTTTTTTCGGGGGGTTTTTTTTTTCAACACAAAAGCTCCCCGGGGTGTCTAGACTTCTGTCCTCAACTACTGTGTTTGGAGCAATAAAGGGTGTTTAGAGAAAGGTCGCATCTGGGATTATAATGTATTGTAAGCCCCGAAGGGAACACTCTGGCTTGCTAGATCGAGGACCGTATTCCCGAGTACTGGTGCTGTACTGTAGATAGGTTAAACTTGAGGGAAAGATGACAAAAGGTGGGAAGGTATCATAAGGGAAATGGGTGATGCTGGTGGAGGATGCCCTCCCGGCACCATGACTGCGTAGAGGGAGTGGCCGCAGGGGTGAAGTGGGTAGAGACAGATCTATCATACTCGCTAACTTACCGTGAGAGAGAGATGTGGCCTCAACTCCCCGTTGCCTCGTAGCTGAGAAAACCCCCCCCCCGAGAAACTCTCCTGAACAACCTTCTCTCCTTTTCTCCATTCGAGCTCACAACTTCTTCAACTCACCAACTCCTATCCACTTCTCCCTTTCCTTGAGGAGAAATCCCCCTCCCCTCCCTTCTCTGTCCCTCCTTTTCTGTTTATTTCCCATAGGCCTCCCCTAATAATTCTGCAATCATGAGCGGCAGTGAGCACCACCCCTTCTGTGCAAGATTTGTTTCTTGAGCCTTCCCTTGCCTAAGCGACAATAGGAATAGTGCTATCCATAGAAGCTTGACTGACGAGACATGTTTTTTTCACAGTACGCTTTCTCGATCTGATCAAGCCGTTCGTGCCAATCCTCCCAGAGGTGGCGAGCCCCGAACGCAAAACACCGTTTAGGCAGCGAATGATGTGGACTGGGGTGAATTCTCTTTTTCCATCGCCTGGGCTTGGCCGATTGGAGGGCGAGGAGGCAGTAGTTAACTTTTTTCCTTTGAGTAGTTGACGTTGCTGATTTTCTTGGTCATGAGCCAAATGCCGTAAGTTTTTTCCTTGGATTTACGACACGTACGTTTTATAGGGCTGATGGGCCCTCGATTTGGCCAGACTGTACGGAATTGTGTCCTCGGATACATCCGATCCTTTGTACTGGCTCAGAATGATGTTGGCCAGTAATCGTGGTACTTTGATGGAGCTGGGAATATCTCCCATTATATCCTCTGGCATGGTTTTCCAACTTCTCGCTGGTACTCACTTGATTGATGTTAACCTCGATCTTAAATCTGATCGCGAGCTCTACCAAACTGCTCAAAAATGTTCGTACCTACGCCTGGCGTTGCTTTTGCGCATTTGGCTTCTAACATTTGCCTTCAGTGTTCGCCATTATCCTCTCTCTTGGACAGGCCACGGTTTACGTTTTGACTGGTCTCTACGGACAGCCCAGTGACCTTGGCGCCGGTGTTTGCCTCCTTCTTGTTCTTCAACTTGTTGTCGCCGGTCTCATTGTTATCCTCCTTGACGAGCTTCTCCAGAAAGGTTATGGGTTGGGATCTGGAATCTCGCTTTTCATTGCTACCAATATCTGCGAAAGCATCATCTGGAAGGCATTCTCCCCCACCACTGTGAACACTGGCCGCGGTCCCGAATTCGAAGGAGCCGTTATTGCCTTGTTCCATCTCCTCTTGACCTGGGATAACAAGCAGCGTGCTCTCCGCGAAGCTTTCTACAGACAGAGTCTTCCCAATGTCATGAACCTTTTGGCCACTCTTGTCATCTTCGCCTCGGTCATCTACCTTCAGGGTTTCCGTGTCGAGATCCCCGTCAAATCTAGCCGCTATCGTGGAACTAGGGGTACCTATCCGGTTCGCCTCTTCTACACCAGCAACATGCCCATCATGTTGCAGTCTGCGCTGAGCTCCAACGTTTTCCTCGTCTCCCAGATGTTGTACAATCGTCTCCCGGATAACTTCTTGGTTCGCCTCCTCGGTGTTTGGGAGCCAAAGGAGGGTTCTGCTCAGCTCTACGCTGTCTCTGGCATTTCATACTATATGTCCCCTCCTCTTAACTTCACCGATGCCCTCCTGGATCCTTTACACACCGCATTCTACATCCTCTTTATGCTCACTGCCTGCGCCATGTTCTCCAAGACCTGGATCGAGGTTTCTGGCTCCAGCCCCCGGGATGTTGCTAAGCAGCTCAAGGAACAAGGTCTCGTTATGGCTGGCCACCGCGAACAGAGTATGTACAAGGAATTGAAGAGGGTTATCCCAGTTGCCGCTGCTTTCGGTGGCGCTTGCATTGGTGCTTTGTCTGTTGCCTCTGATCTCTTGGGAGCTCTTGGATCTGGAACTGGTATTCTTTTGGCTGTTACGTACGTGATTGTCATACCACCTCTTTGCGTCATGTTAAGATTGCTAACTAGGCCTTTTACAGCATCATCTATGGATACTTCGAAATTGCTGCTAAAGAAGGTGACATGTCTGGCCTTGGGCAGTTCATTTCATAGAAAAGGTAATTTGATTTACTTTTCGGGATTTTTATAACCAAAAAGTTGTCTCCCTTGTTTTCTTTTTTTTCTTTTTTCTCTCTTCATCACGCTTCTTGTATAAGATATCTGCTCTAGATCTGCCATTTTACGGGGGTTCTGGGATGGCGGGAGGATGGGGATGGTGGCAAATATCTACAAGTCTCAGAATACGAGTTTTTTTTTGCATTGTAACGACGAGTTATGGGTGTGATGGGTAAAATAGATTCCAAACAAACCCTCGGACGAGCTGTAGTATTCTTGCAGATTGCAATGTAGATTTTGCTGCAGTTATGGACTGGTGTATTGGTGCTGGGCTGCCGTTTTGTTAATTGGTTGTGCTTTAATTCGTGGTTATGCTCATGGATTACCATTACCTGCAGCCTCTTAGATGACGAGTGATAAGCGTGAAAAAGTCGCGAGTGATAGGTGGTGGAGAAGTTAGCACACCCTTTTTGTGCAAACTGCTCTCGATAAGCGACAAGCTGACTGCCATAAATGAAAGGTTTCCGAGGCAATGGTGAAAGCCCAGAGCGGTGATTAGAGAGAGGAATGACTTCTGGGAAAATCCTAGTTGGGGTATCACTGGTGGCGGATGGAATAGTGTTACTCTCGAGATGTAACTTTCTGTTTTTAGAGGCATGAATTTTGTAATCATCCCGTGGCGAGTCCTCGTTTCAGCCACATCACCTACCGTATGCCCCCTTTAGTCATCCTTTTGCTCATTGACACCTGTTTTCGGTCACGCTTTACCGGTACATTTCATAGGCACATAATCACTTCCAAGACATCAAATTTTCTAACATAACTTAACCCTCCATGTTACACCGTCCGCAATGAAATAATTCCCGAGGATTAAATTACAAACAACCCTATGATATCGTACCCGATCGGAGAAAATAGTTTATGATTATAGAGAACCCTCTTTTTTGGAAATGAAAGCAAAAACTCCGGGAGATGCTGTCGTGGTTAGGAATTCCGCTGGGTAGAGGTAATTATGGCTACTACGGGCAAATGTGGGACGGGTTTATGAGGTATCTAGTTGATTTATGGTGTTAGCTACTGTGCGCGGCACCCAAAGGGGGAGCAGTACTAACAGGCAAAGTCACTGCCCCTCGAGCTTAACCAGAATTCTTTAGTAATTTGGTTTGTGCCACGTTTTCCTCTCAGGCTGATAGTGGGGGAATTAGCTTTTGTGATCTAGAGGAGGAGCAGGAGGGGAGGGGACGCACGTTATTATTTTATTCAGGAAAACGGTTTTGTCCTTTTCTGAAAGGTTCGGGGATGGGAAGCCATTCCGTGATAAGGACGACGATAGCCATGTCTTAGCCTTGACCTGGCGGGCTATCATTTTCTTGAGGGGCTCCGTGAGGCTATCGACTTCGCTTCTCGAGGCTCCGCCTCCGATGCCCTGTTCGTATTCTTGTTAGTTGGCTCTATTAGGGCGAAATGGAATTTTTTTACCCAAACGAGCTTCTCGGCTAGGGCGGGTCCGCACATATTGACAAATGCGTTAATACTGGCCTGGAGTTCTGGGCGGTCATCCACAGCGAAAGAGACAAGCGATGCCCAGAATGTGCATGCCGCCTTCTTAACCAAGGTTTCCCGGACCTGTAATGCATTCATGACGAACCAGAGGAGCATCTCAATTCGTTCCCTGGGCTGGTAGTGGACGATTACGGTAATATACCTGGAGAATAGCCTGTTTAGGAATTCAACCAAACCCTGCGACATCTCGGGGTCCTCTTGAGGGTTCTGGAGTCGCTCAACAAGTCCCAAAATTAATTCTAGGAAAAAACCAACTTCAGTGGAAATATCTGGGCTACCATCTAACGAGTGAGAGCTGACCATGGTACTGGCGGTCGACAGCACGGTTTCTACCCGGACACCACGATTTGCCCTCTCCAGGAGAAATTCAGTGACTACTCGTGGAGGGAATACAAAGGGGCCAGGAGCTGTCTCTGCAAAACCTGTTCGGAAGACAGCACAGGCAGCGTCAACAATCTCCCCATCCTCAGCCAGACTCCCGACCAGTGTTTGGATAATATGTAATATTCGCCTCTGGATCGCTAGCCCTCTCTCTTGCTCCCAGAACGAAGGTGGCCCTCGTCCTCCACCTTCGCCAGCAAGGATGACCGGAATATCGTCCGGGGCCTGCAACCCTTTGCCAATTGCTACTAAGCACTGCAGCGTTGACACTCCTAGCTCTTTAGCTGTTTCTGGGTGTTGAGGGAGAAGTGTAAGAAATTGCTGAGCATCCTTGTCCACATATCCCAGTATCTTGCTAAGAGAGTCTAGCTTTTGGCTTTCCGAGGGCAAGGCTTGTATAACATAGGATATTGCGCACAGAACACGCTCCTTAGCAATGTCGTCTGCTGTGGGTGTGGCAGAAAACAGCTCGTATTGATAGAGGAATACGGATAGCTCGCTTGTGAGTGTGCTACGGCAAGATGAACATAGGGAACTTATCGACTTCGAGGCATTCCGGGCTAGGGCAGGGGTAGATATTGCCACAAATAGAAAGTTTAATACGGTTGGTAAGAAATTGGCCCACCTCTCGAAAAATACGGCGTATGATCCTTTTAAAGCGGTTAGCCTCCCAGTACAAAAACGCTTGCTGGGATAACGAACCGATCATATGGACAGCTGTTTGTCTGGCTTTTAAAGGAATTTGGTTTCCGAAGTCTGCCAAGATGTTAAACAGCCTACTCCGGAAGAGCACTTTTAGTGACTCGTCTTCCTCTGGCTCATCGCCCAAACAATCGCTCAAAGAATTGAGACAAAATAGACTTGCTTCTATCTGCTCCCAGGCGACGCCCCCCCCGGTCTGGCTATTTGCCAGGGCACTGATAACCTGGCTAATCAAGCGGTCAAACAACTCAAGGCCCAGGATTCCGTATGCCACCTCAACCAGATCAGCAACGTCCTTCCGGAAACTCGTAAATCCGTCCCTGAGATCCTTGGTCCATTTTAGGGATTCGGTATGTGGGGGTATTTGTATTTTCGCCCAGAATTCCTCAATTGCTTGCATAATCTCCTTTTTTCCAGCTGCCATCAGTGACGGGACATCTGACTCTGCTACATTTTCCGGGTCCAGCAAGAACTCGGCCAGGCTGCTCCAAAACTCAAAGGTAGTGCCCGAAATCTCTTCCTCGGCCGCAGGATAGCCAGGGACTTTAACCATTCCATGCAACATTTGGAGTAGAGCCCCGGTGTGTGGGCTATTCGCGTCACGTATGAGCTTTTGGACAGTGGCTTCTGCGAAGGCTACTAAAAGTCGGCCAAACTGAAGCCCCCCCCAGTCCCCGTCACCTGAGGTGAGCTCTTCGTACCGACTCAAGGCCCAAGGCGAGGTAATTATGGCTGCCAGGCAGGCCTCGTCCGCAGGCGTGAAGAATGCGAAATAATTGGTGAGGATATCTGTTGTTACCTCGCATGTGCTCTCGAACGTATCTGAACAGGCTAGCCAATTGACAACGCGGGTTGTCAGACGCTTTAACTCCGAGAACGTGTAGGGCGAATCGGATAGGGAACGTAGAGAGTGAAAAACCCATGACTTTGCGGACATTCAGTTTCCCGTGCAGACCAATAACAGGGGTAGAGAAGAGGTGACGCACCTGAAAGGTTTTCATTCCTTCGTTGACAAGACGTGGATCGAATGCGCTTGATGTAACGCCAGAAGCTGCGTTCATTAGCATACTTGGTTAGATATGGGAAGTATACCATCTTACCATCATTGGGATTTTGCATTTCGATTGCATCACCTATTAGGGAGACAACCTCCTCAATGTTTGACTGTATCCTGTTGTGGAAATGGTAACTGTGTGGGATGTGGATGTTAGCCCTGTAGCGTTATCACTGCTGGAATGGCTCACTTTTTTACGTTTCTGGAGTCAACTTTGCCTACTTCTTCTACCAGAACAGCCGAGAACCATAGTGCTGTGATTTTCATTCTAGGTTCTGCCACCCTCAAGATTTTCTCTGAGGGAGGAAGTTGTGGAAGCTCGGCAGCAGAAACGAAACGGCCAAAGCATAGAGAACAAATAATATGGCGGATGCAGTCATCCCAATAATCCGGAAACCGTATAAAGAAAACAACCAATGTTGAGCACAGCTTCCTGACAACTAATTGGGCCGATCCGAGGGAATCAAAACGAACTAGCCAGTCGATGAGCCGGTCTCTTAGAATTGGGATGTCTTTTGGGGACAGGGATCCGCTACACCCGGCCACATCAGTTTCCAGGCTTTAAAGGATACTGCTGAGCGGGGTTACAGTATGTACCTGTCAGAATTGAGTTTGACGGTAAAGGTGAGGGCGCCAAAGAATTGCACGTATTGGTCGTCTACGGCGAGCAACGAATCTGCCAACTTCCACCCATCCTGAGAACGCTGGACAGCTTGAAGAGTCTCCTGGATTTGTGAGAGGACTTGAGGGGATCCCGGTTGGTAAAGGCGTTTAACGAGCTATTGCGGCCTATCAGTAGTCGTACGAACATTGCGGAGGAATGTTGAGGGGTAGAAGTTCTTACGGTGACCACCTCCTCCAAGGAAGATGGATAGGGACAGGATTCCATTCGGGAATGGGACGAAGCAAGAGCACCTGTGGGGTGGGATAGTGTAACCAAGGAAATGGGGTCACGGGGAGGATGAGAGAAGAGGAGGGGGATGATCAAGAGCAGAAAGGGTGAAGGAAATTCATGGTAAAGGTCGGGAAAACGTGTTGGTGGGGCATTAACCTATGGTTGAGATGTGAGGGCTAGACAATGGCCATGGCAACCCACTGTGTGATAGACCATGATAAAGTTACCCCTCTATCCCTGCGCCGCGTGCTGATCTGCACGCCACCCCCACTGTGCACTAGCCAGCAGCAGCTTGCTCTGGTATCATACATACCCGTAGACTACCGTATGATAGCACCGATAGGGCCGCACGAGTTTGTGGCGTCGTAACTTGTACCGTACCAGTGCTCTACAGTGGCGTATATATATGTTGAGGTACGAGTAAGTTGTGGCTTATGAGGATAGGATGTGGTGCTCGATTCTATAACTTTCTGGGATGCCGTATATGCACAGTGCTCGTGCCGTGCTGTGCTGTACTGTAGAGCATCGTAGTCTACGGTGGGTAGCTATAGCGCAATCTGGTTGCAATTTTTCCATCACCGAACTACATATACCGTATACCGTGCAACAGGACAAGGACATGTACTGTACTAGTACTTGTAACCCAATTTTTTTAATTTTTTTTAAAAAAAGAGAAAAATGCGGCGGTGGCGCTCTACCTTACCCATACAAATAGATAGAGAGCAGTTAATGGTGTGTTGGTGGCGTCAGGCTCTCCCAGAAGACCAGGGGGTCTCCATATATAAGTCACTTTATATCACTCGACTTTGTTATCGTCGCCCCCCCGGGGCTACCTTTGCTTGAGATTGGCGTAGGGGCACTCGGAGAACGTTACCATGGTATTCAGGAGGTATCCCGCAACGGCTCTAGTGGGTTGGCAGTGGTATTATGATATTGTGTGCTCGTGATTCGACCCCCGAATATTTCCTTCACTCCTCTGTGATGCGATGCATGCGGGCGTGATACCACACACTACGGTACCCCCCAAGTCCAAGTTGGAGAGATATCCATCACTTCCCCCCGCAACGCGGTAGGCGTGAAGTTCCAAATTTCCTAGCTTGAGCTACCAATAGCAAAGCAAGTGCTACGTCCCTGTCCGTGTGGAGCCAGTGGGACTTCATCAATGTATCACATCCAGGCAATGTTTGTTCATGGGAGCTTCCCTCGTCGGTGTTCTGGTGTTGAGATATAGCGGGCCGGGGTTTAGAAAATGCGCCCCAGACATTTTTTACTGGAAGTCGCCCACCGAGCCCGATAGAGCAAAGCAATTTACCTGCCCTCCTATGGCCTTGAGCGCTGGGACCCGGAAACCGGTCCATTGCTCCATGAAAGGCCAGCGGACGGAATAAATAGTGGAAATACACTTACAGTTGCTCGTATCCCACAGCACTGTCTATATATAATAATATTATCTGGGAACTGTAAATTTACCGCTGTTTGCGATTGAGCGAGACCCTCGGCGACAACCATGCTCTATGACTGCCCGATTTGTATACCGTTACTACGGTATGGTATGGTGCGCTAGGTGCATCCAACTGAACACATGGCGATCCTGGCCAACTGAGCCCCGCATCCAAATGCCAGCCCCTCCCACCATAACATGCTTTGTGCGGCTACTGTCACGTCCCTTCCGTCGCCCCAATTCATTCGCTCCCCTTTCCACACACTCGAATTTTAGACTTTTTTCCGCAATCACTCACGATATGGAGACTGTCGACACTACCTCCCGGCTTGCAAAGCTGAGAGAGCTTATGAAGAGAGAGAAGGTACATGTTTACGGTATGTTTGTGATCTCTCGGGAGTTTACCCCCGGGCTGTAATGTGATTATAGGCTCACCGGATATTGTCTTGTATAGTTGTCCCTAGTGAAGATGCCCACAGTAGCGAGTATATTTGTGCTGCCGATGCTCGGAGAGGTGCGTTTTTCTTTTCTCCTCCCCTGTTCCATTCGAGAATCCGATCACATCTGTCTAACCTACTGCTGGGTAGCTTTTATCTCCGGATTTACTGGATCGGCTGGATGCGCAATTGTCACGCAGGAAAAGGCAGCACTATCTACTGATGGCCGCTACTTCAACCAGGCAGCCCGCCAACTGGATAGCAACTGGGAGCTCCTCAAGCAGGGCCTTCCGGATGTTCCCACCTGGCAGGATTGGTGAGTAGAGTGCGATACCCAAACTGCTAGTTGATGCGCTGCTGATTGGGGTGAAATGGAATAGGGTTGCACAGCAAGCAGAAGGGGGAAAAAATGTTGGTGTCGATGCCACGATTATAACTGCCCGTACAAGGCCCCATTTCTCCCTGCCTAGACCTTTATTGACCCTAATGCACGTGGCTTGCGTATACTGACATAGTGTAAAGAACAAGCAAAGGGTCTTGAGACAAGGATAAAGAAAAAGGGAGGCACTGGCTTGCTCGGGATATCGAGTAATCTTATCGATGAGGTCTGGGGCGCCGATAGACCAGATAGGCCGAACAATCCAGTGATGGTGCTCGATGAGAAGTATTCTGGAAAGGAGTTCCCTCTTAAGATTGAAGCTGTCCGAAAGGAATTGGAGAATAAGAAGAGCCCCGGATTTGTAGTAAGCATGCTTGATGAGATTGCATGGTTGTTTAATCTTCGAGGAACTGAGTGAGTCCCGGGGTTCCCAGCCTTTGTTCTGTCTGACTTAGTCACCCGCTTTTTTGGGCTCGAAATTTAGAGTTCCCTCTTATTAACAAATAGTCTATGTCTAAAGCATTCCTTACAATCCCGTTTTCTTCTCCTACGCTTTCATTTCCCCGAAATCAACCACTCTTTACATCGACTCTTCGAAACTAGATGAAAAGGCCATCGCCCACCTAGGTTCTGCTGTTAAAATCCGTCCTTACCACGCGATCTTCGATGAGATTATTCTGCTAGCGCAGGAGTTCAAGGCAGGGCAGCCCGAAACGGAGCCCGGGACCAGCGAGGATGGCGGGAAGTGGTTGGTATCAAACAAGACTTCTTGGGCTCTATCAAAGGCACTCGGTGGTGAGGATAGTATTGAAGTGATCAGATCTCCCTTGGAGGAAGAGAAAGCGGTCAAGAATGACACCGAAAAAGAGGGAATGAAGAGATGCCACATTCGCGATGGCGCCGCCCTGACGGAGTACTTCGCGTGGTTGGAAGATGAGCTTTTAAAAGGAACCAGCATTGACGAAGTGCAAGCCGCCGATAGGTTGGAGCAGATCAGATCCAGAGGGGAAAACTTCATGGGGCTGTCCTTTGATACTATTTCTTCCACAGGACCTAACGCGGCTGTCATCCATTACAAACCTGAGGCAGGAAATTGCTCGGTAATCGACCCTAAAGCAATCTACCTGTGCGATTCCGGTGCCCAGTATCTTGATGGAACCACTGACACGACTCGCACTCTTCATTTTGGGGATCCTACGGATATGGAGAGAAAGTCCTACACACTCGTCCTGAAAGGTATGATTGCCTTGGACAGGGCTATCTTCCCGAAAGGCACAAGTGGGTTTGCTTTAGATATTCTGGCGCGCCAATTCTTGTGGAGCGAAGGACTGGATTATCGTCACGGCACGGGCCATGGTGTTGGGTCATTTTTGGTGATTGATCCCCTGCTGGTAATGTGGCACCATTTCCTGACGTGAGACAGAATGTCCACGAGGGGCCGTTCGGGATAGGCACGAGGATACAGTATTCGGAGGTTGCCCTTAGCCCAGGGATGTTTGTATCCAATGGTTCGTTCACCTTTGCCCCATCAAATTTCGTCGTCTTAAATTAATAACTATAGAACCTGGATATTATGAGGATGGGTCCTTCGGCATCCGTATTGAGAGTATGCTTAGTATTCCGTATAGAGCCTGCCTTCACTGACGGAACCACAGATATAATCATGGTGAAAGAGATCAAGACCAACCACAACTTTGGCGACAGGCCGTAAGTCTCAAGTCCTCAGGACGAGGTTATATATGCGTGAAATGCTAATCTCGTCCAGATACTTTGGCTTCGAGCGTGTTACAATGGTTTGCTGTCTCAACGCACCATAGAATATGCGTGTCCACTAATAGCGACTGTTGTAGGTGCCTATGTGCAGAAAGCTTATTAATGTCAGCCTCTTGACACCTGCTGAGATCGGATGGCTAAATTCTTACCACGCGGAGGTTTTCGAAAAAACACACGGATTTTTTGAGGAAGGTAGTTTGGCTTTGAAGTGGTTGAAGCGTGAGACTACGCCAATTTAAGCATGGAGTTCATCACACTTCCCTTAGTTACAGCTACTTGACCCACTTCTATACATCTCCTTGTGAGGTTGGATTACTTTAACAATAAATTTCTCGGAGTTTCTTTCTTGGGCAATGCGCAACAGGGAAGGTGTTATAACAAGTCCTCAACCCCCCAGTATCACAAGATGGAAACTAGAACAGCAAAACTTGTCCCAGGCTTTGCCATTGTTTTTGATAGTCCATTTAAGTTGACAAATGAGGGATGGGGTGTGGGAGATATCGTTATGTGGAAGCCCACTATGGTGACTTGGGAGTTGGGGCTGGATCCAGTTTGCTGCTGTGGAGCATACCCCTACTTTCCCGATGCTCATCAGAAATATACACAACAGAGTTCTCCACTCAAGCGTTCATTGACCCTGGTGGAAGCGATAAGGGGTAAGGGAAGGGAAGTCACTATAGTTGTAGAAATGGGAGTTGAGTCCTGTTCGGTTTGTTCTAGTTTTCGACCCCAAGTGGGATTAGCTCTAGGAGAAACGAGGCAGAGTTGGCCCGGCTCGCAGCGGAGGTGTACAAATCCTGGTTAGCCTCTTTGGCGGGTCCTTATGGCGAGTGATAGATGATGAAGCAGATCAGGCTTTTAAGGTTTGTAGTGTGGCCGATAGAAAGAATTGGGAAGAAAATGTTGAAATAGAATTTCTGGCATAATAGTGACAACTAGCCCTTGCACGGGGGAGCGGGTAATACTGGGTATCATAACTTTAAGGTCATTACTCATAGGATCCTTCCTCTGGGTAAGGGCATCCGTCATGACGCTCTTAATAGTGAGCATATGAAACCCCAAGTACAGTACTCAAAGAACCTCACCAAAGCTTTGTTCTGTGTCCCTTGGCCCTAGGGCTTTTAATCCTGTATTGTTTTTCAGAGAATCGCAGAGCTTGAAATTTCATCGTCACGCTCGTTTCTCGTTACCATTGAAGTTGGTAGCATATCACCTCCTCCTCTGTCCTCTGTCCTCCGTGCTCATTCATCTCATTTGCTTTCTTCCCTCGCTCTTTAACGACTAGCAGATTTGGGGGTAATTGTTTGACTCTTAAATCTTGTCTTTAAATACCGCGGCCTTCTTTCCTCTTTCTACGGGTAGGTTTCTTTCAGCCACAACAACCTAGTATTTGCCTGCGCCACACCAATGGTATCATTTGTGCTCTCCTGACGCGTATTTTACAGTCTATACTCAGATGTCGACGCAGCCCAAGATGCCTGGGGCTTTCGGTGGTAGCGGAAACGCGACATTCAACGCCCAAGGAAACACCCCCGGGCGCACTCACGGTGGAGAAAATTACAACCCGAGATCCAACACCTCACACTCTCGACGGGGAAACCGACTTCCAAACCGACATCACCAGTGGAACAACGCCCGACGGGGCCACTCGAGCCGACAGAACGATAGCTTTTCAGCCAGAGGTTCGGGATTCTCGGACTACGCAGAGAGGAAAAACCGACAGCAAGCTGGGCAACCCAACGCAAGATTTGTCAATCCTTTTCTCCAGGAGCACGTCTCTCCGAACAGGAATGCTCAGGAGGGGGTAGGATTGAGTTTTCACACTACCGGTCGGATGGAGTCCAATGGTCGCCCTGGGACTGCCCGTAGGGGGAGAGGTGATGTTAATTCAAGAGGCCGTGGCAGGGGCACGTTCGGGACCACATCTGGTGGGCCTTCGTTTGGTGGAAATTCTTTCGGTAGTGGCCCATCTAGCAAACCTACTTCTGGTAGAGGCGGCCGAGGTAATCGCGGAGGAGCTCGGGGTGGTAGAGGAGGCTACCGACAGGGCAGTCCAGCTGCCTCCGGTGGGGGAGAATCCGATGTTTCTGGGGACGAAGGTGCCGTGACTCGGTTGGCTGATGGCGCAGGGTCTCTCAATGGGGAAAATCCCTGGGACGAAAATACGGCTAAAAGTGTTAGAGCTGAGAGGTTTTCTGACAAGATTCCCACTATGGCGCTCTTTGAAAGGGTATGTTGGCACCAAATTCAAGCTCCAAGCGGAGCCAATATTGACGTCGGTACAGATGAAAAAAGATCGTGTCAGAGAGAGACGGGATGCGATCGCCAATGGAACTATCGACGATCCAGATGTTCCGAAGAGGCTTGAGGATGCGCTCGATTTTGTTGGGACTTGTTTGGACATGTGTCCGGAATTCGAACGTGTCGAAAGGAGCGTCCAGCATAGTGTTGACCCACTGGAATTGGTAAGAGCTTCTCGTTCTCAAGTTAGGGGTATGTTATTGATTCTCTACAGGATCCCCTCACCGGTGAGATTGGCAGGAATTATGCTGTCAAGCGGTTTCATCGACCAGCGGCTGGAAATGACGCTCAACTTCCTTCGGATGTTCGACCACCCAAGGTATTGGTTTCGACACTAGCATATCTCGTTTACAACCTATGCGGTGGGGACGTCCCATTATCTAAAACACATCCTTTCGTGCGTGATCGTACTCGGGCGATTCGACAAGATTTCACCCTGCAGAATTATCGGAAAGCAGAAACTGTGCAGTGCCATGAAATAATTGCCCGGTTTCATATACTTTCTCTCCACAAACTCGCCAAGGATACCCCCGATCATTTCGTGGCGCAACAGGAGATCGAACAGCTTCAGAAGACATTGACAACCCTGATGGAATTGTACGAAGATGCACGGTTGGATGGTAATAATTGCGTTAATGAAGTAGAGTTCAGGTCCTATCAAATTATCACGCACATCCGCGATCCAGACCTCCAACGTCAGGCACAGAGGTGGCCGTCTCATATCTTCAGCTCGTTCCCAGTGCAAATGGCACTCAAGTTCTTTGATCTTGTCCAGGCGAATAATCGAAAACAAACCAATCTTGGGACTAAGAACACCGAATCATGTTTCAATAATTTTGGAACATTCTTCAGATTAGTCAGGAATAAGAGAGTGCCATATTTGATGGCATGTTTACTTGAAACTCATTTTAGTGAGGTGCGGAAATATGCATTGAAGGCAATGCGGAGTGTATACAGAAGGGATTCCAAGCAGATTTTGTTGAAATTTATTCAAGAAACACTGGCATACGAGGATGAGGCCTCCTTAATGGCGGATTGCGACAATTACGGATTATCCTATGCAATGACTGATCCGGATCCCGGACAGGAACCGGAAAGCTATCTGGTAATACACAAAGGAAAAGGGCCTTGGGCAGGTAACACTTCATCTTGATATCCGGGGTTACGAAGGTCAATAGCTGAACGCAGCCTAGATAATCCGCCAACTAAACAGTCTTTCCATGGATTCGTTGAGGCTAAGCTCATGGGACGGTCAATCTCCGATGTTCTTTGGGAACCTAAGGGGGGAGCGATGTCGAACGAGACTAAGGCACAATTATTGCTCAACCACACTCCCCATCAGCGTGCACCGGATCCTAAAGCTCTTGTCCCACAAGCGTCTCCGTTCGCTCCTTCCCAGAATGTGTTTGGCTCTCAACCACTCCCGGAGCTTCCCAACTCCAGCAGCAAGCCAACCTTTGGTCCTTCGACACCTCCAGGCGTTGCTCAGCCCGCATTGGGGTCTGCTTCCATATCGAGGCCTTTACACCCTGATGGCATGCAGAGCTTTGGCAGTCGTGGATCCGTCACGGATTCAGCATTTACCCAAGGTTTCGCCAACCCTCAACCCGTTGCACCCGTGAACCTCGGATTCAGCGGCTTCAAGAACAATTCCTCTGTCTTTCGCAATGCACCGCAGAAGTTCCCCACTACTGGGTCTCTGACCGCCGGAACTAGCCCATTTGCAGCCAGTTCAGCAGGTCCACCGCAGAAGAATCCATTTGGCCCCCCGGCCGTGGGACCTCTGAAATTTGGTACGGGGACACCGTCTGCGCCAACGCCCGCAACTTCACCGGTGGGATCTAACTCTGCTGTCAACGAACTGGCAATACTAGGCTCTCAGTTCCCACCTCAGCCGGAGCCTCCACCGCCAAGCGATCCACCCGCGCCTGCCCAACCGCCATTCGGGCCCGCCGCTGTTTCCTCTAGCCCACCAGCTGCCCCATCCGCTATAGCTTCGGTGTTTCGACCAACTGCAGACAATAAGCGGTCTCTATTTCCACCTGTGGCTCCTCAGCCATCAGCCCAGTCACCTGCTCTCGACAACTCTCTGTATTCTCGGCCTTCGGGACCGGCCTCACTCCCAAGCCTTTTCCAAAAGCCTGGGACGCCTTCATTGTTCGATTCGAGCTCAGCGCCGGCCTCGGTGAATGGGGGTTCGGTCTTTGATAGTCTCCAAAGCTCGTCCCGATCGTCTCCGGCTTCTTTCACCTTCCCAACATATGTTCCGGATGATACGGGAGATGATGATGAACTTGCCGACAATGTGGCTACCCAACCCCATACAAGCGCACCCTCTAGCAGCGTGTTCGGTAGCCATCCATCTGCTACCTCCATGTCATCTCAGGCCCGGCCATTTCCGACAGGTGATATTGATCAAGGGTCGTTATTTGCTAATTATTCGTCCAGTTCCGAGCAAAGCAGTGCCGTTCTCCCCACTTCCAGCCCAGCTCAGCCATTCGGGGCGGCTGCACCAGAGCTCCCGCATCCCGTCCCAACAAACAAAAAGCTATTCCATTCTCCTGCGAGGATAACAGAGTTAGCAAATTCGCTCTTCGATCAACTCTTGGAAAAGAAAGCCAAGGAAGTGGTTCAAGATGTTATGGAGAGCAGCAAAGTGGCACTGGCTGAGTCTATGGCTAACGATTTTCTTGATATACAAGCATCGAAAATTGCTGCAAATGTGGTCCAAGAAGCCATAGCCGAGAATTTTCAACAAATACGGTTGAAGGAAAAGGTGTTTGTTCCATGGAGGCGTATGTCGCGGAGGTTGTGGCTCAAGCGCCTGAGGCAAGAGAGAATCAAGAACCCCCCCCCACCAATATCACCACAATGGCACCCGGTTCAATTCCCTGACAATGGAGCATCGTCTGCGGAGGTTGTTCTCCAAATCCACCGGTTCTTTCTCTCTTCACTTCACTGACGCCCCGCCCTTTAGGTATTCAAATATGTCAACCCGATGTTTAAGGCGCCACCGCTCGTGGATCTATTTCATCCCAAGGCCGAGTATGCGTTCTGGGCCACTTCGCAAAAGGAGGCGCATCCGACCTGGCGCCTACTCATCGTGAACACCAATCCCGAAGACGCCGGAAGCTTCTGGTGGAGGAATAAATTTCTAGGTCAAGGGATGCCACGGAAAGCGAGTTCCGATAAGGCGACCTTTGAAGCCCAATTCACACTCGAGCGGGGTGAAATGGGCCAACTGAAGGAAATAGGGGGTCTTATATTTGGCTGCTCCGCGTCATATAATGTCTCGAACGAAGAGAGATTCAAAAGCGATAGGAAAAACCTCCATGATGCGGTTAAATACATGTTGGAGAACACTTCGCACCAGAAACTTGCCCTTGCGATTATCTGCTATCGATCTCCTTTGGATACGGCCGATCCCGACCCCTTTGGTAGATCTGATAGAACGTCTGGAGAAGGGCGGGAGAAGCGTCTTGCAGCCGTATGCCCCCCCTTCTTCAATACCGTATTTGCGGATGAAGGAAATACTGAATCATATAGATACGGGAGGCCCTGGGCTTGAATGAGTTTGGCCCGCGAGTCATTGGGCAAGAAGTTATATTGGTGGAGACTTTCGATGACACGGACTTTACACCGGCGATGAAGAGGCTCTCCGGATTGGTAATAGAGTCGGTCAATCCAGCGGTGGCAGAGGCTTTGGCGCCGAAGACTTCTTTGAAACGGAAGCGCACCCCCCATCCACCAATGTTCGCCAACCTCGCTGTTCCGCCCCCGCTCGATCGAGCCCCGAAGAACGAGAAGGGTGATGGGTTGACTCGCCTTAAGAGAAGGAAGTCAACACCACCCGATCGGCGCATCACAACTGGGAGTAGGCAGATGAACTGTATTGACTATCGGGCCCAAAAGTTGGACTGGAGGAAGTCTACCGGAGGAGCTCTACCTAACGGCGTCAAAAACCCTGTGGGGGAAGAAATATTAGTTACGACACGTACTCCAATCCAGCCTGCTTCGGAATCAAAGAGGTCTTCGCCCATAGCATCTCTCAGCGCAGAAATCGAGGATGTGATGAATATCACGAGGGAACTCGACCGAAGCTTCGATGTCATTGCGGAGGATTTTAGGGAATTGACGCATGAGTGGATGCATGCGGGAAGCCGTTAGGTACTATTTCTCGATGTTAGCGTCTGCATTTGGTGCGTTAAAGCTGGCGGGTTTCTCATGTTTCTCCTTTCTTGTTGGTACTGGCTCAGTCTTCGATTTTTTCTTTTCCTTTTTCTCGCGTTCTAGTTGGGCCGGTATATAGTATTACGATAATTTCCTAGTTCTCGGATTGTAAGTAGCACTGGCATTACTTGGGAAAGACCTTGGGGGTGGGTGAGGGGGGGCTTCCTTTGTATTATAGTATCTCTTTGGCGAAAGGGGCTTGGGATGTGGTTCGAGCGGTAAATTTGTTTCATTGCTTCACGTTCGCTTTTATAGAGCATTTTTCTTCTCCCATTCTTGTATAAAATATCGGTAAGCACGAAGGTGTAAGACGTCGGACACAAGGGCTGTTTAACTTGTTATATTATACACTACGGTCGAGAAGCATCTTATATGTTATGGTGCGGCCCTATTTCGAGGATAAAGTTGTTTATTTCCCCGTGATTATGCCCCGCGCCGTGGTGTATCATACTCGTACTGTGAGGGTGAAAAATGTGTTTGCTTTGTTTTCCTTTTTTTTCTCTTGAGCTCTGGGTTTTGTATTGGTGAATTAGGTTTGTTTGAGCTATTGGGGTTTGGTTGCAACTGGCCATGGTGGTGTGCTGTGGACCAGAGAGGACCTAAAGGGATTTTTTTCCTTCCTCCCTCTTCAGACAAAAGGTAAACCCAATGAAGAACTTGAAGCTGTGGAGAAGAACTTGTGGAGAAAACAAGCGAGATGAAGTCAACAATGAACACAAAAGCCTGTACCTACATCTGATAATTCTTCTTTGGTTGTTCTTTCATTTCTTTACATCAATCGATCTGTACGGACCTAATTTCGGAACTGCTTTCCTTGTGTGAGGTATAGATTACCTGTTTGGTTTTGCAAGTGAGTGAAGCTTACCCGATCTGTGTGTTTGGTTTCCCGGCCCCGATCTGTCCCTTTCAGTACTGTGCGGGCGTAGCACAACCGACAGTGCGAGCCCGGTTATGGTGGTATATATCATATCATAGCGGTGATTTGGCGGAATCAAAGGTGTTGAGCTAGAGTGCCGCTACTTCGCCAGTACTAGTAGCTGCAACATTTTGTACCGCAAGGCACGATACAAACCGTGTCGAGTACGGTATCATACCGGTACGAGCACTTGTACTGTACTAGGGGGATTCAAAGCTCTCGGTACACTGAAGGTACAGATGTTTCAGTAGGTGTATTCTTCGGAAAACACGGTACTTTACAGTGCACAGCAGAACCTGCTCGGGAGGAGGGATGCAGCATGCTAGTACGAGTACTTGGTCTGTCACACTACTAGTAGCAACTATTACCAATCAGGAAAAAGCAAGCTAATATACAGTACCAGTCCTGATGGCCGTTTATACAGTAGGTGACGTTCAGAACGGTACACCTGTATTTGCAGGGCATATTGTGTGCTGTATCATAGCCGGTTCGCAGCGTATCATACTCGTAGTCTACCGAGAGCTTTGAACCATGTTAAGCAGGGGTGCTTTAGGTAATCCATGACAAATCGACAATCCAGGAATATGGGGGGGGAGGGTTGTCGGTGCTTCGGAGCTTTGTCTACATTGAATACCGGTACCGGAGAGCGAATCGAGTACCGGCAGACTGAGGTGAGGCTGGAGGTCAGGACTCGAAGTTGGAAGTGATGTTGCACAGGGTTGGAACGTTATGATATGCCCCTGGGGAAGGTTCCCCCCTGTAACTTAGATGGGCAGTTCATAGGTTACGGTAACCTGTCACGTAAATAATTCTTTGAGACAGGTTTGCTCAACTGATCCCCGGCAGGTGTAACTACGGTACCGCCGGTGTCCGTCCCCACACTTCGTCTCCTAACCCCCCCCCTCTCCTGCTTCTCCTCCTCCTCCTCCTCCTCCTCAACCCCTTCTCATTCAATTACACATCATCACGGACACCTTCTTCTCCTTCCTTCTATTTGAACCTGGTATCTCCGACCTTTCACCCGAAGAAGGGGTGAGGTTAGAGCGAACGCTCTAAAAAGGCCTTTTTTCTGGCAATCAGTGTCTTCCTTTGTCCTTGCCTCCCTCTCCCTTTGCCTTTCTCTCACCTACGTGCAACCTATCATCCGCTCTGAATCCATAAGCACCCCGGGATCCGATATTTCCAGAAAAAGGAGAAAGGGAAAAGCATAGCTGGCTCCTCCACAAACCTCAAACAATCATAATGTCGATGTCCACCACTAAATTAAATGCGGAGAGCCATCTCCTCCTCGTGCGCGCCACTGCTGATATCATAGCCCTACAAACCCTGGCATCTTGAGCTGACAAACTTCAGGACCAACCCCTCCTCCGCCTCCCCCACGAACTCCTCCGTAAAACATTCAAAACCTCGCAAAAGCACTTCGAGCGGGACCAAAATATCATTTTGACCGGTGTCAAAGAAGCAGCGACAAAGGCCATGGCGGGCGGGGGTCCCGAAGACTCCGTAGCTTCGCTAGATAGTATGATAAACAGGATGCAGGGGCTCAAACGGAAATTGGAAAGTCTGCACGAGGACGAGAAGGTCCTGCAAGAGCACTCCAGAAAGAGGATTAACCACCTACAGGACCTTTACAACATTCCCAGTCTTGTGGATGAGGGATATGACCGGTGGAGTAGGACTAGGCTCGATAGGCTGTTGGTGGATTTCTTGTTGAGGGCGGGGTATGGCGGGAGCGCTAAGAAGTTGGCGCAGGAGAAGCGGATCGAGGTTTGGCTAGCAGTGCGCTCTTAGGGGCAGGTGAGAAGCTGATGGGGGTGAATTTCCAGGATTTGGTAGACGTTGATGTTTTCGTTCAATGCGCTAGGGTCGAAGCGAGCCTTCGAAAAGGGAGTACGGTGGAATGCCTGGCTTGGTGTCAGGAAAACAAGAATTCGCTGCGAAAGATGAAGGTATTGGGAGGGTTCGCGGAGAGATTCTGCTGGCATGGCTGATCCTTTGGATAGAGTACTCTTGAGTTTGAGTTGCGCCTGCAGCAGTTCATCGAACTCGTGCGGGCAGGCCAGCCGAAGGAGGCCACCGCATACTCGAAAAAGTTTCTTGTCCCCCATTCGGAGAATCACCTCGAGGACATTGAGAAGGCAGCTGCGTTGCTTGCTTTCCGGCCTGGCACTCCATACCAGCCGTACAAAGTGAGTATCATAACATGTTTCAACTGTGGGGGTTCGGTCCGGAGGCTAACCGGGCTTAGGCCATGTATTCGGCAGATCGTTGGGAATTTCTCGCCAACACATTCATCAATACTCACCACAGCCTATACGGCCTTCCTTCCCGACCACTTCTTCACATAGCTTTGTCGGCGGGATTATCGGCACTTAAGACACCATCTTGCCATTCTTCTGTGGCTTCATCTTCGAGCAATACTGCCAGCTCTACAACTTCTCTGTGTCCAATATGCTCCACGGAACTGAATGATCTGGCCAGACATGTTCCATACGCCCACCACGTTAGGAGCTCTGTTGAACCCGATCCAGTGGTGTTGCCCAACGGTAGGATTTATGGCCGGGAGAGATTGGAGGAATTAGCATCGAAGCTTGGATTGCCGGAGGAAAAGATCAGAGATCCCACTACGGGAGAAGAATGGGATCGCAGTGAGGTCAAGAAGGTGTTCATAATGTGATGGAATGGCAGAACTGGTCTCCTCTCCCTCTTTCGATTGCTTCCTCTCTTTGCAATTTTCTACTTTTCGCGCTAGGGTTGGGTTTTAATTTGTACATCTACGGAAATTGAGTTTTGTCTTTGTTATGAAGGGCGTAGACGGCGTATTGAGGGCTAGGCTTTTGCTCCGTTAGTCACTCAATCGTTCGTTTTGAATGTCATGATATCTTTTTTTGTTTCTCTCTTTTCCGTTAGGTATATTCAAAGTCATGATGGTGATGACCCTTCTCGATCAACTCAATCGGTCGTGCAAATCAAATCACTCCTCATCAGAGCTATCGTCTCGTTTTTTTCTCTTTCCCTGCCTACCGCCACCACTGGTATCGGGCCCCCGATTGCCCACTTCAAAGACAAAAGTCCTCGCGTCCCTCGCCTCCCCTTTCCATCCTCCACCGCCGCCAACATTCCCAAGCGTCCTGGCATGCGCATAACCTGGATAATCCTCGGGCGCAAACTTGAAACTCGTCCGTGTCTGAAATCCAAGAGCCCTTGCCAATCCCTTGATATCCCAAAGATCGTACTGCTCGCCTTCGAACAGTGTGACGACAATTATGCCGCAGGGTGATAGGAGGGGTTTTGCCGACGCGAAAAATGATTGGAGCAGTTCTGGTGGTATGGTCAGTTGGATAGTGAATTGTAGGGAGGCGGCGGGGGGGGGGGGGGGGGGTGGGAGTACGTTGATTACCCCGTACCTGGCGATCCAGGTGCGTACTTTTTCCGCCAATGTGCGGGAACATGAAGGCAATTACGTCGAATCCTACCGCCCCTTCCCCCTGCTCCTTCACCCTCTCCTCCCCATATTCTTCGCCCTCCTCGTCCTCCACCGGCCCAGACACGACCTCCCCACGTCGCTTCCTCACAGCTTTCACCTTTCCCACCGCCCTAGCATCAACACCGTGCACCACCACCCCCCCACCACTAATCATCCCTCGCACTACAGCAACATTCCCCGCTGCCTGCGGGTACTTTTCTAGTAACTCCGCTTCACTATCCAGGCTCGTTGCTGTCAAATGTAGAACGCAGTGGTGACGCACTAGCGAGGCGGCGAAGGAGAAGTCCCCTTCGCCTAGGAGGAGGATTCTCGAGCTGGGGTGGAAGAGGGAGGGGGGTTTCTGCGGTGGTGGCTGTTTGGCGATCGGTTTGGATTTGGATTTGGAGTTGGATCCTTGTTGGTGCTGGCGGTGGTGGGGTCGCGGTGCCGGGTTTTGCTTTTTGTGCAGATGCGGGTGCCTAGTGAAGGGAGTAGAGATGTGTTTTCGCTTATTGGGCATTGTTCGGTTAGCGGGGTAGATTTGGGTTTGATTGAGCGTTAAAGGTTTGCTTCGGGCGAGCGTGCGGTTGAGTGTGGGGGTGGATCTTATCAGGAGCAAGAGGATATCATACTTTAGAGCCCATTGATATTACTCACGGATTATGGTTTTTCCTCCGGGTTAGGGTTGTTCGATCGAGAAACTGGGATCGAGCGAGTGATAATTTGTGATGGAGGTCCTGGAGTGGTTCCCTGGATGTCTCATTGGGGCGTTTTGTGGTCCCTCTCCCTCCTGACCCCCTCGAGAAAAATGTCATACGATATTATGATACTACTTTTTTCCAGAGGCCCTAAGCACACCGTGCCAGTGCGCAACGGTTGCCCGTGATCTGGTGGAGTCAGGAGGCTAGACTAAAGCCCGGCTCGCGCGCCAAATACGTCCTGAGCATCTGCCATGCTCGTGCCATGATGTGAGGGACGTTCAAGATATCTGAGCGATATCATGCAAATAATAACAGTGAGCCGATCACTCCCTATTACACAGTCTCTAGTCTACCCTATACCGATTTGAACCGTGCACTAACGAAAAAAAAAGAGCTCCATTCATTTTCGTACAGTACTCTCGTGGACCCGCAGGCACTCCTTTAGCTACGGCAACACAGAACAACAACGCTAATCAGCCATCCCTAGATTGGATCTCTATTCCCCCATTAGATTTCTTCCCGAACAAGGCCGCAGAGCTGGGAACTGTCAAAGTTACCCTCAAGGATGAACACACCACCGATGTGTCCGTCAGTCAATATATCATATCATTTTTTTTTCTTCCCTAATAAAAAGATCTCACCATTCTAGTGAGCATCATCATCCATCCATTGTTCAGTTCTCTTCGAATCCGTCCTTCACATTATAACATAACATCGTATACCCTGGATAAAAGGCCAGAGGCGTCGGGTTCTGGCTCTTGACAATCCGGCTCAGAATTGCCCGTTCTTGAATGGGACTGACTATTCGTCCTCTTGTGTTTGTACCGTGCTCTGCTGTTATTAACTTGCTTGGGTAGTAGGTGTAGGGTACAGTACAGTGCAGTACAGTACATGAGAAACCCTTCTGTTACTATTATATGTAGCGCACAGTAGGATAGGTCAGTCAGTCGGAACTCACACAGCCAGAATAATTTAGCGTTTAACGGCCTAGATTGGTATACGAACTGGCCGTGAGTGCTCGTGTCTCCGAGCCAAGAATGGGCACCCGATTGGGAATAGGCCGTATGCTCCCAAGAGTAGTAAAGTGTTCATGCTATTTGAAAGGCAGTGAGAGTGATGCAAGATGCCAGTAACTGGGCTGGGTGGTATCAACATATGATAAAACTACCATGAAAATTCTCAAAATTCCATAAACAAGACTGGTTCTCACACAATGTAAGTGCTTTCTCTTGGTTCCGTCAAATTTAGAAATTAATATTATGGACAGTGCTATGACGAAGGGAAAGGGCCTTACCATCACTACATGTGGTGCCATTATTGCTCTGCACAAGCATATCCAGATATCGTTTTCTGAAATTGCATTAGTCAGTGGTCACGGTATTAGTGAAGAAACAAAGCAGTATGTACAGGAGGTATACATTATATGCTGAGTGGGAGCATTTGCCCCAAGAACTTATTGATTGTTTTTGTATAAACTTTTATGTAAATTTACCAGTATTGCAAGTCCGAGCCTGTGGAGGTGATAACAGGTTTAATTCCTAATAGGGCAGTTCACTACTGGGAGGGGGGGGGGAACAGGGGAGGCGGGGTTGGTGAATTCACAATATTTATTTCCACTGCTCGGTGGTTGTCTTAACTTCTTCTGAAAGCAGCATCGAGACTTTACCATAAATGGATCTGGGGAGGGCTATATTCCAAAAGAGGTGCCCATCCTTGGCTCGGAGACACGAGTATAGACTAAATGGTAGTGGCAATAATCGCTATGTTACCGTAGAATATTGGAGGGGTGTCGTGGGTGAAAAAAAAAAAAAAAAAAAAACTTTAATCGGCTAGTCTAGTCCAATCCCCGATTAAGGCCACTTCCATGAGGAAATAAATAAGAAATAAAAATAAAAAACCAGAAACAGAGAAATATAATAGATGTAAATATCAAAATAATGACAAGGATAATAATAAAAAAGATCAGGGCCTGTTTAGTAATAATTGTTCTATTCTATTTACCCATACAAATTACCTTATGGTTCTATTTATAAACAACTATTTTTTATGTATAAATGGAATACAATGGTTATAGTCATTGCTAAACAGACTATAAATTTAAATATTATAATAATATTATTATAATAAAAATAAAATAATAGTTGAAAACAAAAATACTAAATCTATCAAAGAAAACAAGAAAAGAAATAGCAACAAGAAAAACAAATACTAAAACACAAGTAAAGAGGAGAATAAATGCTGGAGAAAATAAATATAATAAAAATTCAAAGTGATTAATAAAGAATATAAAAAAAAGAATAAAAAAGAAAAGTAATAATATAAAGAAGAATATAGGAAAAGCTAATATTATTTGATATGGAAGAAAGAAAAGTAAAAGAGAAGAACAGAAAGTGAATAAGAATAGGGTAAAATAATATAACTGAATAAGAAAAGACCAGAGTAGATAGAAATAATAAATAAGAAAGAAAAAGATAGTAAAAGTTAAAAAAAATGACAAAAAAAAAAGTTAGAACAGGCAAAGAAAAATATATGATAAACTAAAAATATAGAAATTAAAGTGAAATATTAATTAAAAAGTGTTTTTCAATTATTTCTAATATATACACAATACATAAAATATATGTATAGAGCATATAAACTTATAGTACTTGAGGGTCTATATATTATATTTTAGTTAGAAAATCAATTATAACCACTACTGAAGTTTTAAAATATTGTTTCTACTTATAGGCTATAGAAGTAGATGTCCTTAAGGTCTTGAACTAGGTAACTAATCTGACTTGTAATCTAACTGAAATATATCAATCCTTTAGATTTATGTACTAGAAAAGACATTCATATAAGATTATTAAGAGAATTACTAATCTTGATTTATATAACCTGGAACAGGATATATTTACAATATTCTAAATGGGCCTACTTATTATAATCTTTTTTCTACTATTAAAAAAATGTTAAAGTCTTATAAAGAGCAATTCATTCTATTGTATAATTGCATATAAGTATTATTTAAATTCTACTAAGAGGTTAGTTCTAAGTTTTAAAGAGGGTTACTATGAAAATGACAAAGATACTAGAATAAGATAACCTAGAAGTTAGTAAGGACAAGTTAGTCCTACTTTGTAAATAAGATAATAATTCATCCAACTAAATAATCAATTTCTTTAGTAAATTACATATACTCTCTAGTATAGAAAAAAAATACTAAAGATTATAATTCTATAAAAGATATCTTCTTAAGATCTTGAGAAGCATAGCTAGTATTATATACTGTACCTAAAAGAGTATCCTATACTACCTTGCTTTTAATTATGTAAAACTCAACTTTCTTGCTCTACATTCAGGTATTTGTTAAGAATCCTACCGAGTAGGACCGAGCGACAGGTAATGATACTTCTCTTGATGTATGATAATAGTTCTCAGGCCTGTGCCTACGCGATCCCGATAGTCCAGTCCTACGACTACTATCTTGTTCGCGCCTATCTCCTTATTCTTCTCCTTAGTCCTTGCTTAGGACTTAATCTCTCCTTGTGGGAGGAAAGACAATTCTTGGGTTTCTTAAGATAAATCTTAAAGAGTAGTATAAAGGTAGATTTTATTGATAATAACTTAAAGGTAGGAAATAAACAAGAAGAACATGTGAAGAGCTCATACTCAGGGTTCTAGTGACCCCTTTATATAGTAGCTCTTCACCTGGCGTGACTCATACCTCTCGTCACGCGAACCCTTTGACTCATAACCATAAGTCATATGAAATCCATCAGACGACTCCTATGAGTCACTGCGCAACATGCCTAAAACCAATCAAAACATAATAACCAAGTCAGGTGCACAACTTACATCACCTGAGTGAAACCCATGACTTATAAGTATGAGTCATGTGTGAAAATCATAACATCGTGTGACTTACAACTGTGAGTCATGAACAAGTAAACATAATAACCTATGGCGCACTAATGTGCGTCATGTGAAATCCCAACATACCTATAACTCGGAAGTCCGAGCTATGTGAAATCTGCCTTGCTTAGTCACAGTTTGTGACAGTATTCTATTATTCTAACTATTATAAGACACTATATTGATAAATTGATCTTATTCTTATTATTCATATTATATCACTATTCAGAGATCTTCAGCTAAGTAGAAAAAATATATATCTCGAATTCCATCTCCTAGAGATGAGCTGAGTCTGCAAGTCTACTTGACAAAAACAGTACTCACCTACACCTCTTCTCCTTACTTCATTCCTCTTAATATTAATAACATACTCCCTAAACTATACAATAGTAAGTATCATAGAAAGAAAAAACTGTATATCTGATTATATACTACTAGTATCTATAGCCTCTACTCTTACCAATAATCTTTTTACTCCCTTGCTAGTAGATACATTGCACTAAGACTCTTAAACATTTCCTTGGTCCAAGTATTGTCTCCCTCAAAGAAAAAACCCCCCTAAACAGCCTGAGTATAGTTAGAAGTCAATATACACCTAAAGTTATAGTATACCTGAAGTTAAAATATGCTCTCCCAGACTATGAAAACAAACTAATGAATTATTATGAAAGTATACTAAGTAGCACATTGGAATTTTTCATAGAAAAATACAGCTAGAGTGGATCAATACCTATAGACTTTCAGGAAAATAGAAATAGTACTAAACAATTATTAGTAGAAATAAATACACTTAGAAGGTTATAGCAAACTGATAGAACAGTATCTGAATCCAGACAGAGTTATTATTTATTTATTTATTTATTTAAAAAAAGATACTAATTCAAGAAAATAACTTTTGTTATTTAAAAGCAATTATAATATAAAAACTTCCATTATACTACTATACAGTCAATCAGGTAGAAAGCAAATAAAAACTTTATATAACTCATCAGAATTGCTTTATCAATCATGTATTCTATC